GATAAGGTTGTCTTGATGTTGGAAAAAGCAAGCAATGGTGGAGATACCGGCCACTCATAAATGCCATGTGTAGTTTGACACTTGCTACAACTTTAAAATTAATCACCCAAGTGTAGGTTGTGCTAAGTATTAAATTTATTGGGAGTCCGAGGTCGAATCACAGGGAATTGTGAAAAACTTAAAACACAAATAAAAATAAAAGAAAATTATTTTGAAGAAATTGTTGTAGATATTTTGAAATTTGGTTTTAAAACAATAATTGAAAATATTAAAGCGTCGGAGATACCCTTTCAAATCCATACAGTAATTATTAATGATCTAGTTTTCAAACTCAATTGAGAATCAATTGAGGAGTGATCTCAATCAAAATATTTAGCGGTGATAATATGAAAAGATCAAAAATTATAACTAATAAATTATTTGAATAAATATAAGAATTTACTTGTAGATTACAAGCATTCACCGTGCCCAGAGTCTACAATAAATCAAGTTTTCTAACAGGTAAATATTATTTTATTATAAATAATAAATCAACTATCTTATGAGAAATTATAATTAATTAATTCAAGCATAGAATAACTAGTTATTTGACTCGCAGGGAATCTCAAACATTCAATGTACGTGACACAATAATCAAAAAATTATACAAAGCAAAAACTTTTCTAGAAGACAAGATTTAAATTAAAAGAATCAATCATGCATTAAAAAGAACATTAAATCAATAATATGTACTGTGCTTCATTGAAAGTATCTTCCCTAGCTTTAGTTGGGCTTTTAGCAAGTCATAGANTTAATAATAAGTACCGTGCTTCATTGAAAGTATCTTCCCTAGCTTTAGTTGGGCTTTTAGCAAGTCATAGAACTTAGAACAAAAACTAGAAAAGAAAATTTGGGAACAAAATAATAATAATAATCCTCATCTTCCTAGTTGAGAACCCTTATTTATACTCAAATATAACTTAGGTNATAACAAAAACTAGAAAAGAAAATGTGGGAACACAATAATAATAATAATCCTCATCTTCCTAGTTGAGAACCCTTATTTATACTCAAATATAACTTAGGTATAGGTGTAAGATATAAGGTTAGATTGAGAAGAATTTCTTTCCAAAAAGAAGTCTTTTAAGGTTAAATCCCGTGCATNTATAACTTAGGTATAGGTGTAAGATATAAGGTTAGATTGAGAAGAATTTCTTTCCAAAAAGAAGTCTTTTAAGGTTAAATCCCGTGCATAAAATCTTGGGGCCACGGGTACAAAATTTGTCCAAACTTCAAGCTTGGATTTCGTATATTTAGAGGCCGATTCACGAAATTTTAGTGAAATACACATTGGTAGCCCTTGGAGTCTTCTTTCCAACCCTGCCAAAATCAAGTCAATCGGATATATTAGAGTCAAAAAATAATGACCAAAATACCGAAGATATGTCAAATCCTTATCTTTTAAGATACTTTCGTAATCCAACTCTAAATGAGTTTTCTTTCAACTTGGACTCTTATAAGGATTAAATTGCTGTCATATCTTTAAGTCTTCCTAACTCAATCTTGACTCTTTAATCCTTATTAATTGTGATTCTTTCTCTGGTAATTGTTTCACTTGTCTTATCCATTATTACTTTAAATCAACCAATTTACCCGCAAAATAGACCAAATAACTAGAAAAAGTATCAAATTATAAAATCAATAAATTTAACACATTTAATCACAAATAATATGCAATTAACTAATTAAATATAACAAAATAGCAATTTTGATGGTTAATCAACCCTTCAGAAGTGTTGCCCCCGTGTGAATGTCCTTTACAAGAAATGCAATTTGTAAGAATTCAATAGAGACATTATTTGAGGTACAAAATTGAGAAATTGAAATGAGATTCTTTTTCAGAGCAGGAACACAGAGGACATTGTTCAATTGAAAAGTGTAATGAGTTGTGTTGAGAGAGGAAGCACCAGTATGAGTAATGGTGAGACCCGAGCCATCACCAATCATATTGTCATCCGAGCCATTGTATGGAGCATGCATGGAGAGATTGTTTAGATTAGTTGTAACATGGTGAGAGGCTCCGCTGTCCAAGAGCCAAGATGTATGACTCGGATTGTTGATAGCATAATGAGCCCTTGGTTGCCATGGGGTAGCAGAGTGATTGTTTGAAGCAGGGGAAGTACTATTGGATGTGTTAACTGGGACTAGCCAAAATGAGGGACACCGTTTTGCTCTATGACCTTGTATTCTGTAGATTTGGCAATAACCCAGGTAAGGCAAATATAGGTGAATTCCTTGAGTTGTGAGTTGCCCCCTGTTTTGTGTAATAGGATACTTGTTTTGGTGGGTGTTGGAGGGACGCCATGAATGATTGTTGGTGTCTGAAGGTGCAGGTGAGCGCCAAGTTGTTGAATTCCTGATCGTGAGATTAGCAGTGGCAGGAAATTGAAGGGGGTCTGGTTTTGTGGTGATTACCGAAACTTCAAAATTGAGCAATGTTTCATGTAGTTCCTCAAAGGTTAGAGGCATGTATCTAGCTTGGACAACATGTGTTAGTTCTTTGTATTCATCACTAAGTCCATCAAGTATCTTGTCGGTGAGATCTTCTGCATCTAGTGGTGCTCCAAGAAGGGCAAGCTCATCCGCTTTTGACTTTATGGATTGCAGGAACGCTGTGACACTTTCAGAGCCTTTGGTGATCATCTTGAGTTGGCTTTTAGCCTATTTGATACGTCCACGAGAAGATTTGGCATAGGTGGTGGCCAAGATAGTCCATGTTTCACGCACAGTCTTGGCTTGTGCAATGAATGGTATGATATTGTGGGAGATGGAGCCAATGATGGCATTCAAGATTAACTGGTCCTGTCAGATCTAGTGGATGTGAGCAGGGTTTGATCTAGTTGTGTCATTTTGTGTGAGAGTGGCTGAGGGACATGTCTTTGAGCCATCGATATAGCCTAAGATATCATAGCCAATGAAGAGGGTGTGAAATTGCAGTTTTCGTGAGAGGTAGTTGCTAGAAGTGAGTTTTAGAGGGGTTTGGGCATCAACATTTATGCTGAAAAGGGTGTTGTGGGATTCATTGGTGTTGAGAATGGAGGGTGAAGAGTTAGCCATGGCTGTTCGAGAGTAAAGAAAGGAGGGGAAGGAGAGAAGAAAAAAAATATTTGAATTTGTTATCTCTGGTTTTGCTCTGATACCATGATAGAATAACAAAACTGATAATTTTATTATTGACTAATCAATCGTATAAATACACCAGGAAAATAACCAAGAATGGTTGAAGATCCTACAAACTGAATCCTATATTTATGGAACAAGCTAGGAAGTTGTTACAAACTAAATCCTATATCTATGGAAGACAACTAAATACATTTGAATAATACAATCTGCTATGAAGGAATAAGTCAAGCAGTTGAGAACAACTGGTTCTCTCTATTAAGTAAAATGTCAGAAAATTAATTGAGAGAAGGTTGAGCTATGGAGGCCACTATAGGAACAGTAACCGGACAAAATGGTGTATTGCCTCTTTTGTAAAATATTTTTGAAATTCAATGACATATGCGCATGCAACAACTTTTCTAAAGATTTGTTTCTCAATAATATCGTCATTCAGTTGTTCTAGTGTTGCTCTAAAGATTCGAACCACAAGATCAGGTTAGTTTTGAGCTTCCTCATTTGGCCCCAATTATGGCTTAATTTCTTGCCACGATGGGTTGCATGTCAAGGTCAAAAAAATGTATGGTTTTCCAAATTGTTGCACTAAAGTCAATGATTCCTTGATACAACTCAACTCTAATTTCGATTTGCTTGTGTATAAAATAGTCCAATCCAAATGTTTTGATCTTTACATACATATCTACACAAAGTTGTTGTAACAAACATCCAAAACACAGTAGAAGTGATCTATCATTAAACCTTATTTGCAACTTGTAATAATAATATTCACAGTAAGAAACCATAGCTCTGTTGTTTCTAGTCTTCTCTAAAATTGGAAGGTCATGAGTTTTGTGAGTTTTTTTTGAAAAAGAGGTACCAAACAATCAATTGGAAGCTATGGTGTGGTTTTAATATCTTTTGTTTCTTTTTCAAGAAAATCTAAGGCAGACAACATTTGTTCAAGACAAATCAAAACTTGTCCATCACAAATAGTTTCTCCTTTTTTTTCTATTAATTCTTTGTATTCTTCGATGTCATCCAATTTCTCCAGAAGGAACTAATAAAGGATATTTTAGGGGGTTAAAACATCTAAAATAGTAGTGTATCCTTTCATTATGGCTTGAGATTTTTTGAACAATAATATCTCTTTTTTTGTGCTTAGTTGAGTTGACATTTTCAGTCCAAATTGCAGCTAGTTCAAAAAACCCATATTGTTATATAGGAAGAGGCTATGGTACCGTTTAGGAAAAAAGCTCTACCGTACCGCAAAAAATGTGTGGCTGTTAATTTTTTGTCATTAAATATTATTCAAGTGTGTGGTTATGAATTTTTTTTCATTAAATATTACTCATTAAAGGTGATTACTTTGCCTTCTAGAAGGGGTATGACCCTGGAGACAGAGTCTTGGAGACTCATGTCTCCGAATAAGGAACAGGAACATTGCTCCTGGAGGGGCATGAACTCGAAGGCAGAGTTCAATACTCTGCCCGTAGAGAGATAGAGGGAGCGTGGCCTCCTGGATAAGGGATGACCCCAAGGGCATTGCCTTATGAGAGGCGAACCCACCCCCGAAAAAACCTAAGGGGTGGGGTCTCCAGGGTGGGAGCAGATCTTTCGAGGGGAAGCACCTGAAGGTCTTGACAGAATACCTCCCATCAAATACATTGCTTGGAATGAGGGTACTTTGTCATGCAATATTCTGCAAACCAAACATGAATCATTGAGAGCTCATCTTGTTGGGGATCCCCAAATACCAGCCTAGCTAGGTGGATGGGACCCTAAAACAGGTTGCCCGAATGATGTCTTTTTGTCTTGGCCCCATGTGCTCCCTCACACACTTCATGACTGGTTAGTTTAGAGAGATGAAGATGGACACAAGAATTACAGCATCACTGGCTCATCTTGAGTATCATTCTGCCTTTAACAAATATATCACTCCTGATGCCATTTACGAAATTTTACAGGCTATGCCAGTAGTTGATAAAGTTTGGGCGTTGATGTCTGTTTGCACAAGTACATGGATGAAGTCATTTGGTTCTAGAACCTATTTTATTGAGGAATCTCAGCTGGATGATAGTGGGATGAGGGATCAACACGAGCCTCTCCCTTTAACGGGCAAGGAAGACGACACTGACCGAAGTGAAAATTACATTGAGATAGGAGGGGTTTGTATTACTACTACTACTGAGTTTGCTGGAGATTCAACTTGACAAAGAGAACTATTGAACTTCTTCATAGAGCATGCCAAAGCTATTGATTTACTGCCTCTACACAAAGCATGGAGCCAAACAATGGTAGAGGGACCTTGGCTTTAATATACCTCGACGTCGATACTCCTCGAAATCCTCAGTGTTTAACATGTGTCCTCGACACCGATACTCTTTGAAATCCTTCATGACTGACACGTGTCCTCGGCGCTAATGTCCCTTGGATTCTTGTATAATCTACAAGTTATCTCTGCAGGGGGACACTTAGAGATTTTTTCCTACTTTTCCCAGGAGAAAGGGTTAAGCAAAAAAGAGGATTCTACCTTTTCCCGAAGATTCTACCTTCACCAAAAGTACAAATAAGGGGGGAAGAATGCACACATGTGCAAGACTTTCTTTCGTTGAAGGAACAAAAAAGAGAAAGGATCAACACAAGGGAAAAGTGGTTTTTCATTCCAGGAAAAAGGAGGCTTTGTGTCCTCTAGGCTACAAAATTTGGGGGATGTTACAAAGAAACGAAAATGGAAGAAAGCTAAGCCTAAGACGCAGTAGGTGGTCCATCAAACTCGCCACCGATGGTCCCTCCAACATCCCCGAATAGTTCATCAATGCTGGCAAATAGGGTATTAGCATTGCCAAGAGGCGGCACCACGGTAGCAGGTGCGACAGGGGTGTCTGTTTGGGGAGCAGGAGGAGTAGAAAGAGGGACAACTAAAGCGTCAGCCCGAGGAACATGAGGAACAGAGGAAAGAACAGCAGTAGAAGCCCCTATAGTAGGGGCCGAGGAAGTATCCTCTCCAATTGGTGTCGAGTTCAACACTTGTGAATTTTTAGCATCCTCAGCTGCGACCGCTGTCGCGGCCCACAACATCACTTTTGCAAGCACATACTGATGCATAAGGAAAAAGGGAGACTCAGGAGGAACCCCCGTTGCCCTGAGTGCATCTTCCTAGCCTAACTTGAAGAACTATTTCTTATTTTCTTTAAGGGCGATCAGGGCGTTGTCGGTGCAGCTATTGACAATCTCCTACTCTTTCTTCTTGTTCACTTCTATTTGTGCCCTAATGCTGTCTAACTCCTAGGTGAGAGTGGAGCAAGTTTGCTCTGACTCTTGGATCTTTGCCTCCGATGAGGGCTGCTACTTTGTCACCTTCGTGATTCTCCTCTTGGTGTCGGCAAAGGCTGCACTTAACCTTTCAACATTCCCCTTCACAACCTTGCCATCCTTCAAAAGCTGAGCAATTTGTGCCGCCCGGGAAGACAACGTCTTATCCCTGGCAGCCACGTCCTCTCTCGTGGCAACATGTGATTATTAGTTAAAATTAGCTTATTACTATGCCTTTTTAAGACTAATTATACTTTGATAGAGTTGAAATGATGATATTTCAGGTCCTAAAGTGAACAAGTGCTCAAAAGCAACATATATCAAACTTGAATACAGCACCAGCATATTTGGGGACAAAATTGGAAAATCTTGGAACAAAGCAAGAATGTTCGAATGCCAAACAACGTTTGAACGCCTCCTAGAATTAATTGAAAACCAGGCTGCTGAGACATGGCATGTTACAACTACCCTAAGGTACTTGAGTACCACGTTTGAACACCAATCAACGTTCGAATGTTACAATAAATCATGAGAAGACTAGACTGCTGCATGGAGTGTGGAAATGAACCTTTTTTTTTAGGGAGGGGGGACTTGAACCCTTGACCTCAAGAAGACAAAACTTTCATAAGATAAGTAATACCATTAGACCAAAGGCCCGTTGGTATGGAAATGAACTTCACAGAAGACTACAGGCCACTTGAGTGAGAAGGTTAGACTCCATCAGCATGTTCAAATGCCCGACAATGTTCGAACGTTGTCCCCAGACTGGCTGCAGAGTAGTTGACTTTTCCTTGGACTTGGATGGCATACACTATTCCTTCACACTCTCTTGTCTCCCCTCCTCCTTGCCTATAAATACTCCCCTTGTGGGAGCTTTAATGGGGAAGTTTTTGGGAGGAAACTAGAACTTGGTTTGTAAGGGTTAGACTACACCAAGAACTAGCAGAAAGCTTGAAGGAGGCTTTGATTCCCAGTTGTAGTTATATAATTAGTCTTAGACTTACTCTTATATTTACTTGTATCAAGGGAGATAGATCATCTTTTGGTTGCGGTGGAAACCCTCCAAAAGTGACTAGCTTTCTTCTACTTTCATTTATTGTCTTTCAATTCCATTACTTGAGCTTCCTTCTTCCCTTAGAGGAGTGAAACTCTTCCACTTTTCTAAAGTGTTACCAAAGCCGTGAAGGGTGGAACTTGATTCACTCATTCTTTATCGAAGATCGACTCCTCGCTTATTGTGTTACCTTGTAAGTCCTCTAATTAGAGGGATGAACATCACTCACTTTTCTAGTTTTACTAATGCCATGAAGAGTGAGTAGTTTCTCATTCACTATTTAGTAAGAGGTGATGAACATGTATAAATCATTTGTAAGTTAGATTTTGTGCATTTCATTTATGCGTTAATGCTTTATATTACCCCTGTTTATTGAATGTTTGAATGCATCTAGCAAAACTAAGGTATTTTGTATAACTGTGGGTTCTTTCTATGACATGGATGACTCTTGCATAGAAAGATCCATGTGTTCAAGGCAAGTACTCCGGCTAGATCTTCATGACTACCTTTNAGTTCAACACTTGTGAATTTTTAGCATCCTCAGCTGCGACCGCTGTCGCGGCCCACAACATCACTTTTGCAAGCACATACTGATGCATAAGGAAAAAGGGAGACTCAGGAGGAACCCCCGTTGCCCTGAGTGCATCTTCCTAGCCTAACTTGAAGAACTATTTCTTATTTTCTTTAAGGGCGATCAGGGCGTTGTCGGTGCAGCTATTGACAATCTCCTACTCTTTCTTCTTGTTCACTTCTATTTGTGCCCTAATGCTGTCTAACTCCTAGGTGAGAGTGGAGCAAGTTTGCTCTGACTCTTGGATCTTTGCCTCCGCTGAGGGCTGCTACTTTGTCACCTTCGTGATTCTCCTCTTGGTGTCGGCAAAGGCTGCACTTAACCTTTCAACATTCCCCTTCACAACCTTGCCATCCTTCAAAAGCTGAGCAATTTGTGCCGCCCGGGAAGACAACGTCTTATCCCTGGCAGCCACGTCCTCTCTCGTGGCAACATGTGATTATTAGTTAAAATTAGCTTATTATTATGCCTTTTTAAGACTAATTATACTTTGATAGAGTTGAAATGATGATATTTCAGGTCCTAAAGTGAACAAGTGCTCAAAAGCAACATATATCAAACTTGAATGCAGCACCAGCATATTTGGGGACAAAATTGGAAAATCTTGGAACAAAGCAAGAATGTTCGAATGCCAAACAACGTTTGAACGCCTCCTAGAATTAATTGAAAACCAGGCTACTGAGACATGGCGTGTTACAACTACCCTAAGGTACTTGAGTACCACGTTTGAACACCAATCAACGTTTGAATGTTACAATAAATCATGAGAAGACTAGACTGCTGCATGGAGTGTGGAAATGAACCTTTTTTTTTTAGGGAGGGGGGACTTGAACCCTTGACCTCAAGAAGACAAAACTTTCATAAGATAAGTAATACCATTAGACCAAAGGCCCGTTGGTATGGAAATGAACTTCACAGAAGACTACAGGCCACTTGAGTGAGAAGGTTAGACTCCATCAGCATGTTCAAATGCCCGACAATGTTCGAACGTTGTCCCCAGACTGGCTGCAGAGTAGTTGGCTTTTCCTTGGACTTGGGTGGCATACACTATTCCTTCACACTCTCTTGTCTCCCCTCCTCCTTGCCTATAAATACTCTCCTTATGGGAGCTTTAATGGGGAAGTTTTTGGGAGGAAACTAGAACTTGGTTTGTAAGGGTTAGACTACACCAAGAACTAGCAGAAAGCTTGAAGGAGGCTTTGATTCCCAGTTGTAGTTATATAATTAGTCTTAGACTTACTCTTATATTTACTTGTATCAAGGGAGATAGATCATCTTTTGGTTGCGGTGGAAACCCTCCAAAAGTGACTAGCTTTCTTCTACTTTCATTTATTGTCTTTCAATTCCATTACTTGAGCTTCCTTCTTCCCTTAGAGGAGTGAAACTCTTCCACTTTTCTAAAGTGTTACCAAAGCCGTAAAGGGTGGAACTTGATTCACTCATTCTTTATCGAAGATCGGCTCCTCGCTTATTGTGTTACCTTGTAAGTCCTCTAATTAGAGGGATGAACATCACTCACTTTTCTAGTTTTACTAAAGCCATGAAGAGTGAGTAGTTTCTCATTCACTATTTAGTAAGAGGTGATGGACATGTATAAATCATTTGTAAGTTAGATTTTGTGCATTTCATTTATGCGTTAATGCTTTATATTACCCCTGTTTATTGAATGATTGAATGCATCTAGCAAAGCTAAGGTATTTTGTATAACTGTGGGTTCTTTCTATGACATGGATGACTCTTGCATAGAAAGATCCATGTGTTCAAGGCAAGTACTCCGGCTAGATCTTCATGACTACCTTTCAATCTTCACCATTGTTGGACTTCATTTAAAAGACGAAATATTAACGCCATGGTTGGATGTCTTGTAGAAACACTTGCTTGTTTATAGACGGGTTGAGTCTCGACACAGACAATTCTTGTAAACTTCTAGAAAGGTATCGGAATCATGTGCTTAATTCTTAGAATCCACCTTTATCCTCCGATTAACTTGCCATTGACAGGGGAGTTAATTGAGTTACCAAGCACAAGTATAATAAATCGGATGATTAACTACATGTTTAGAAGGTTTTTAATTATTTTGTCTCTATCACTGCTACTTCAAAACACTAATCATAGTTCCCTGTATATTCGACTTCGGACTTAACTAGATTATTACTACAACTTGACCACCTCCACTTGGGTGTACACATATCGAATCAAGTTAGCAAGGGCTCCTTCGGCATCAATTTTCTGTTTGTCCAATTCCTGAAGTCTCTCTCGCTGATCGTGGAAGT